ATATTAATTCAGTATAAACACATTACCCCTCCTGATACTGCCAATATACTCCTCACTGCTCTCTCCTGATACTGCCAATATACTCCTAGCTGCTCTCTATATATTAATTCAGTATAAACACATTACCCCTCCTGATACTGCCAATATACTCCTCACTGCTCTCTATATATTAATTCAGTATAAACACCTTACCCCTCCTGAGGCTGCCAATGTACTCCTCACTGCTCTCTATATATTAATTCAGTATAAACACATTACCCTCCTGATACTGCCAATATACTCCTCAGCTGCTCTCTATATATTAATTCAGTATAAACACATTACCCCTCCTGATACTGCCAATATACTCCTCACTGCTCTCTATATATTAATTCAGTATAAACACATTACCCCTCCTGATACTGCCAATATACTCCTACCCCTCCTGATACTGCCAATATACTCCTCACTGCTCTCTATATATTAATTCAGTATAAACACATTATACATTGGCAGCCCCTCCTGGTGCTGTCAATATACTCCTCACTGTTCTCTATAAACACATTACCCTGATTCCAGCATATCCCCACTGATCACAATTTATTTTAGTGACCATATAAACAGTCACACCCAATCCCCACATTCCATGAATAGCGGCACCCAGTATACTCACAGAGGTTTCAATGTGACTCCTTTCTAACGGTGAGTAAACACTAAGCTCTGCCACTCTGGATACTGTATCCTCTATTCCCACCTACTGTAACATGCGCACTCTGAGCCTGCACAGCGCGCATGGGGGTGGTTAAAGGGACAGTGTGCCAATTATCATGATGCTTTGGGTGGGAGGCGTTTGGTAGAGACAGTCTGGCCGACAAAGCATCAAGGGAGTTGTAGTTCTAAAAACAATATGGGAATCGAATTTCTGGCCACTTCTAGACCCAGCTCCTTCCTCAATGTATCCACACTAGACTAGGCTCAATTATGCTACACCTGCTACCTGGCACAATATTAAAAACAACAATGAAAAAAACAACATTATTATTGTTAACAGTGTAATCACAACCTTTTCATTAAGCTTTAAATTGTAGTGCATTAAAATAATGTTACTACTTTTTAAATAGTGCTATTACAACATTTTAATATTGTAAGTACAATTTAAGTATTTTGTTTTAATTAAAACCCAAGTTGTAGTGAATTAAAATCCCTTGGCTATTTATATTTGAATTTTGCATTTCAGATATTAGTTTGCTACAATTTAGAGTTCAGTGAATAACCCTGTTTCTGTCTTATGAATAAACACCTATGGATTTGTTTTTACAACAGAATTTAAAGTAAAACTACAAGCACCATAACCACTACAATTCGCCTTAGTGGCTATGGTGTCAGGAGTTCCCTGGTGCCCACTATTATAAGGACTCAAACTGGATTTTTTTTAACAGTTTGACGGCACAACTGGACTTTGCCAGACACGTTCCCTGTCTCCAGTACCATCTCCCCAGAATGTATGGTTCTGCCTATGAGCTAAGACCTGCGTTGCAGTCCTCAGCTAGTGAGCTAAACCCTGCATTGCAGTTACTCATCCAAGGAATAAAATCCTGCAATGCAGGGAGTAGTTCAGGAGAGCTAACGAATGTTCTTGCTGGGGTATTTTTTTGACTTTTGGGAGATTGGGAGATGGGAGTGGGGCTGAAGAGCGGTGGCTGGTGGACCCCAGATAAGGCATTAAATTGTTGATTGGGCAGGGACGCAGGTGCATTTTTGGCACCATAACCACGTAAGCTGGTTATGGTGCTTGGAGTGTTGCTTTAAGTTCCTCAGTTCAACTAGTTACTTCAAATTTTAAAAAAATGCCAATAGCATTATTGTTCCATTTTATTTTATTATTTTTGTGCCCCAAACCTTTTGATTCAAGCTGAATCAACGTGGCTTTGTGAAGGGCATCTTACTGAATGGATTTGCACTACTAACGTCATGGTTTTGGATCTTATCCAAAAAATGATAATTTAAAAACATTTTATGCCAGCTTGGGCACTTTTATAAGGCAGTAATTCTGAAAATTAAATACAAAGATAACACAAAGATAAGATGCACATCATCATACGGCAATAATTTTAAAAATAAAATCTTTTGTTTTTTGTTTGCTTAGAATAAATAAAAAGTCAGGTTGTCGAAATCACTGTGGGGTTTATACATGTAATAAAGATTTGCACTAAATTGAAAACTGAAGCGTCAAACGTGGGGAAAAGAGCTGATTTGAAAAATACAAATTCCAAGTCTGCTTTACTCACAATTTAGCCAATTTTAGCCCAAATGTTGCCATTTTGTTTCCGTTTCAGTACTGGTATTCTGAGTGAATAAAACCCAGACTGTTAACCCCTTAAGGACCAAACTTCTGGAATAAAAGGGAATCATGACATTTCACACATGTCATGTGTCCTTAAGGGGTTAAATCACTAATTCAAATATTTTGAACTTTCAGAATGAATGTAGAGAAAAGCTTCATAAACTGTGAAAAAAATTATTAAATTTTTATTTTATTTTAAAGAAAATGACTTAAAACAAGATTTGTTTAACCTTTAATTATATCTACAGGTGAGATCAATTCTGTTTTCTTTCTTTGTTTCCTAATAGTAACAAAAAGTATTGAAAACAATAACCAAAAATGAATGTTGTTTTTGAGGTAATGTGCCATGTCAATAATTGTTTAGACCAATGTTATGAAAGAGGGAAGTGCTCATGCCATTGTACAGAACACTAGTGAGACCTCACTTGGAGTATTGTACACAGTACTGGAGACCGTATCTTCAGAAGAATATTGATACCTTAGAGAGGGTTCAGAGAAGGGCTACTAAACTGGTTCATGGATTGCGGGATAAAACTTACCAGGAAAGGTTAAAGAATCTTAACATGTATAGCTTGGAGGAAAGACGAGACAGGGGGGATATGATAGAAACATTTAAATACATAAAGGGAATCAACACAGTAAAGGAGGAGACTATATTTAAAAGAAGAAAAACTACCACAACAAGAGGACATAGTCTTAAATTAGAGGGACAAAGGTTTAAAAAATAATATCAGGAAGTATTACTTTACTGAGAGGGTAGTGGATGCATGGAATAGCCTTCCAGCTGAAGTGGTAGAGGTTAACACAGTAAAAGGAGTTTAAGCATGCGTGGGATAGGCATAAGGCTATCCTAACTATAAGATAAGACTAGGGACTAATGAAAGTATTTAGAAAATTGAGCAGACTAGATGGGCCGAATGGTTCTTATCTGCCATCACATTCTATGTTTCTAAGACTTAATGCTATTATTTCACTAACCTTCCTTTCTGTAAAACAGTCTGTTCAAAAACAATACAAACAATACAAGAATCTTAATAAAAAGATGGCACTATAGCAAGCAAAGCCTTGTGAAGAGCAAGTAGAGGATTTACAAAATCATTCAATGGGCATTGTTTGAGAAGTGCAAGTTTTAGGGTGTGCACAATGAAGCTCTGTGTCAAACAAATAGCTTCACTGTAATCTCATCTCATCTCTAAATGTAATCATCTTAAACAAATAGTGTATTACAAGATATGCAACAACTCAATTTCAAAACAAAACAAATATCTTTTGAAGTTCTCGCAGTTCTTGTGAATAATAATAATATGAACGTATTTAAACAGGAAAGGTATAGTTCGCTTCTGCTAAGAGCTGGGGTCTAGATTGTATAATTAATGTATCAGTTTATGCAACATACAGTATTGACAGCAATGTGGTGTGTTAGTTATGTTAAGAGGAGTGCACCAGTCCCAACTCAGGGTTAGTAGTCAAACCCTTTTCGAATGTTTTCACATGTATCTAGCTCCCTTGGGTAACTATGGTTAATCCTCTTTTGATATTAAATAATATCAATTAGTACATCTTTAAACGTAAATTCAATTAACTTAAAAAGGCAGAACCCGGCCTTTTTCCCAACAAATTTCACTCCAAGTCTAAAGCTTAAACCAGTGATAGTCAGATAAAACAACTTCCATGATAGGTACTCAGATTTTGCAGAATTGTATATTGCCCTCTCCCGACATAAATTATCACAAAACCAAAAAGCATGTCTCCACTAGAACGATTGATGCAGAACCTAGGAAGCCGGAATGGGAGTGGACTGTAGGTGTGCCAGTACTGCATTGTGTGCGACTGCAGAAACGATGGCACACATGCCAGATTACCAGACAACTAAAATCCTATTTTCAGGAGCAGATCCGCAGCCCAATTTTGGGCAGGGGCAATGCCAGATTTATTTTAGTTTTTATCTTTAGAAAATGGACACATACATTTGCACAGACACAGATACACATACATACAAACATGGAGACAAATACGTAATTTTACACTCATTAATGCACTGATTCTTCCTTATACCCAAATGCAAATAATTACACCCATATATAGAGAGACACACCAATATACAACCACAAACATACAAACTCAATAGGGGAACTGCAGGATTTTGTTAAATTTTCTAAAAAGGTAGACTCCACACAAATACAGGTACACAAACTACAAACAGGAAAACGCTTACAAATAACTACAAAAATGTACAATAGCCATTTTTTCAATGACATTTTTACTGATTTCATTTGTATTGGGATGAGGATAATTGTATTCTAT